AATCTTAGTTGGGATGTCTATGCCAGAGTTTCTTTGATCCTGCATGATTATTTTATAATGGCCTTTTTGTGGTTAGTGGCTTTTTTTGGCTTAATTATTAATGCAATCCTAGAAATTTCAAAAAAAATAAAATAATAATAAGACTAACCTTCTTGAACTGATCCTTAATAAAGGTTGAAAATCATATTAAATACTGAAGAAGCCAATCTTATTGTATATAAATGTTGATTTGGACTAACCTTCTTGAATTGATACAAGAAAATTATGCTTAACAAACACGAACCAAAGGCACGTACGAAACCACAATGGCAACTACTCTAGAAACAATAATGCTATTTGTATCACTTTGACTGACCACCTTACTGACTACCTCTCTAATAGAGGTGGACCCCACCAGCATATGTGAGACCTATCTGTATTAGAGAGGTGGGTGATAAAAGTTGTATAAATAGCAGCACCCTATATAAATAATGATGACATGTTGAACCCAATGCCACAAGATTTTTAAAAGGATAAAAAACATGAAGATCAACGGCCACATGACCAAAATAATAAGTTCATATAATAACTTAACACAATACATAACATATTCAGAACTACTTTAATGTTCGAATGATAAATCAAACTTGAGTGTAAAGTGGCGCGGTTACCGCATCTCCACTTAATGCAACCTTTGACTCTAAAACACATTATAAGGCTCGTCACTTTCTTTAAGTTATTATTCAAATAGGCGTTGGAATAATTCCAACTTAGGATCTAGAGATCATAGGAATTGGAATAGTTCTAGAGTTTAAATAGAAGGGAAAAAGAGAAACTACATTAGGCCCTACCCTAGAAAAAAGAAATCGGATCTAGAGATCATTGGCATATGTACTAGCATTTACATTTTGTGTACCAAATTTGGACCGGTGCTTAATTATCCATAATGCGGTAACAATTAATCGATGACTAAGACTGACACTTGCTTAAATCACGATAGCCTCACGATTCCAAAATGATATGGATCCATTTTGCTCCCTTTGTTTCATCTTTTGACATGTAATTGTCCGATTAGATGGTAGATGTGAAAAAAATAAAAACAAATTAAATAGCTATTTTATATAAATAAAAAAAGGAACAAGTTAGCCTAGGTGTCCATTTCACGACAAGTAAAAGAGTGCCAGATGAGATTTGTTGAAATGGGATCATGTTGAAACGTCTAACTCAAGTGGTCGGCCATTAAAACAATCGACTAATTAGGTGAGGGCAGAGAGGAAGAGCATGTGGCCTTTAGAGTCTCCATAGTGATATGTTTTAAGTGACATATATATTAATTCTTCATGAAATGCGAGATGTGGACCTCCATATGTAGACACCGATGCATTCATAAATTATGTTGCAGAAAGGGCTACAAGACAAAAATTTGCACCCCCATTTTAGTTATGCAAGGTCCCTACTTCTGATAGTTTCTTCCCTGAGAGTTCATATTTGAGCTCAAGCAATTTATTATGGCATGGGCCCTTGAAATGTGACGACACATATGAAATGCTACGTGCACGTTTATATAAATAGAATTACGAAATGTTGTGAAGTATATAGAATGCTACGTATATGATAATATAAAATTATGAAGATATATGATTCATTCTTAGACTCACATCAATTAACGATTAATGATTATATTCAGTTTCAAATATAGATTCAAGTATAGGTTGAATGTGGTGTAGATATAGGCCCAAATCTAGCATGTATCCTTGGCGAATCTGGACAAATTTTCTCCTAGTTTTGGGGTCTTTTAAGTTTTCTATTTCTTGTATAATTGTACTAAAACTCTATGACATATAAATAGGCACTTTAGCATTAGATTATTAAAAAATGTGATAAAGCTAAGACATCAAATTGGATTTGAGCCAAGGGTGAGAGAAGAGAGAATTAGGGTTTGTGAGAGATCAAATGGGGTTTTTCATTATAACCAAATGAGTTTTTTTATATTAGTGAATTTCTCGAGAATCACCAAAAAGGATGTAGGCATAACGTTGAACCTTTATAAATTCTTGTGTTCTATGTATGCGTGTATACTTTGTGGTTTCGTGTGTGCTGTATCTTTGCATGACTTTTGTGTGATAGTTGCGTAGTCCATCAACAACAAGGTCTTTGAGTGTTTACGCAAACAGTCTGACCGTATAATTTGAAGAAGAAATTAAATATGCAGGTTAACCCTAAATGTAGATTATCCACAACGATGAACTAGCTAAGACTCGTCACTCAAGCATGGACTTTTTTAATTTGCCTTTTGTCTCGTAGTTAGAGTTATATAAGATCTCTTTCGGTCTATCAAGGTCTAACAAATTTTGATTATTTTACTTTTCTTGTAATCTGGGCTATTGGTAACCCAACTTAAACAATGACCCATCGACCCAAAAAAAAACTAAAACAATGACCCTGCTCTCTTAGAACATTTACTTGATTCACAAGGATTTGAAAAAAGTAAATCTTAATGTAATTAAGGATATTATTAGTGAATATTCTGATATAGAATAATAACACACACATACTCTATATATGGAAATCAAACGTGCGATTGATTAAAATGACAAATCTTTGTGCCAACCTAGATTAATTCTTATTAGCTGTTGATTTTTTTCAGTCACATACACATATAGATATATATTCATAGTTTAATCTTTGTGTTCAAACTTTGATCTGTTGTCCCAATTACAGAACTGGAAGGTGGGTATTTCCAACAAATTTTGACTTTTCAAAGAGAAAATTCGGCCCTGAACAATGCATTTCGTGCCTTGTGGTGAATATGAACTTGCTTATGAAAGTCTCTCAATTACTCTTTCGGCAATGTTTTCTTGAGAGAAATTAAAAAATTAATAATCAACAAGAAGAGACAAGATTAAAAACGTGTTTCGACGAGTAAAAATGGATAATGCATGCCACCATTTTCTTCTTTTTTTTGAAAAAAATAAAATTTAAAAGAACTAAAACTATGATTACTGGTTCTCATGCGGACAATTTGTTGGCAGCAGTCAGAAGCCAGCAGCCAGCAGTTTATATATATTTAATGTTGAAGTCTGGAGAGCCAAAGACTCTTCCCAACCTCAACAATAACATTCAGTCCACAGTTTCATGCATCTATATACTGAAGTAACCAAGCTTTTTAGTTATATTAAAAAGATTGCGACTGTATATATATTATCGTAGTATTCATAACAACTTAAAAAGAAAAAATGAAAATTCATTCAATCATTTTTTTCCTGCTGAATTGGTGGACCCTTGGGTGTAAGGGAGCCAGCATTTACTCACGAGGAGAGTACCAAAGTACAAAGTAACATAAACATATGCTAATTGTGTTTTCTAACTCTAAGCCACTTTCACTAGTTACACAATCTTCTGATATAACACATTCTGTTTTTATTAATTAGAACTGGCGTACTTCTGGTGATCGAAATGACAATTTGACAAGAATTAATTAATTTGAACTTTGGGTTTAAATGCTTTAATTACTTTTTAGTTGTGGGTTAATTATGGAATTGATAAGAATTCAACAAAATAGCCAACCTTACTTAAGTGAGTCATAAGCCGAGCTTTAATGAGCTACAAGGCGGCCGGCGCCTAAAAACTAAAAAAGTAGGCCAATTGAATGTAATGTTGGTGTTGGCATCGACCTCCAACTACTCACAACAACTGCCCTAATTTACACGTCAAAAAAGTCTCTCTTTATAATCTTTTGATTTAAACCAAAAACCCAAAGTCAATTGCATAAAATTTTCTCCCAACCACATAATATTTTCATGGCAAAAAAAAAAGAAACAGTAAACTTCAACTTCAACACAACATGGCCATCTTTCTCTCCCTCCTTTTAAAAACCCCATCTCCTACGCTCTTCATAACATAACCTCTCCTCCTCACTAAGCTCACCCGACAAAACATTCATTCAACCCACCTAGCCATCTCTCTCTCTCTCTGGTGGCCATGGGGGCACGACACCGCTTCGAGCCAATTTCTAGATGTAGCACCGAGGGAAGATCAAGCCAAACCGTTGCAGCAGACCTTGATGGCACACTCCTTGTGTCACGCACTGCCTTCCCTTATTACATGCTTGTTGCAATTGAAGCCGGCAGTCTTCTAAGAGGCCTAGTTCTGTTAGCATCCGTCCCGTTCGTCTATTTCACCTACTTGTTTTTATCCGAGACCATAGCAATCAAAACCTTCATCTTCATTACAATTTCTGGCCTTAAAATGAAGGACATTGAGATGGTGGCAAGGTCTGTGCTGCCCAAGTTTTATGCTGAAGATGTTCATCCAGAGACTTGGAGAGTTTTCAATTCATTTGGCAAGCGTTACATAGTCACAGCCAATCCCAGAATTTTGGTTGAGCCTTTTGTCAAAAACCTCTTGGGTGCTGATAAGGTTCTTGGCACTGAATTGGAGGTGTCAAAATCTGGGAGGGCAACTGGGTTCGTGAAAACACCAGGTGTTCTTGTTGGAGAGCTCAAAAGAGAGGCCATTCTCAAGGAGTTTGGTACAAACTTGCCTGATTTAGGCCTGGGAGATAGAGAGACTGATCATGATTTCATGTCCCTTTGCAAGGTATGTTCATTTCATCATGCATAATTCCCCTCTCCTTTTTTTTTTTTTTTTTTCTTCTGGGTTTTATTTATTTGTTTTTTTAAAATTTCTGTTTTCCCTGTGCTGATTTGTTCATTTGTGAGCTGTTTCTTAGCTGAATATAAATGGTAACGATAACCATTAGAAAGGACAGTGCCATTCATCTAAGATTTATTACAAGTTTGGTGAGAGCCTTAATGGCAACAGTATGATATCAGCTGCTACACATGCATTTTACTGGAACCATTTTAACATGAATCATAACCTCTTTTTGGCTCATGCTTTTCACTTTCCATACTTTATTTTTTTACCACATTTATTTCACAATGCTTGACAACTGACACCCCCATACACTCTTCATGCACCAACCCACTTTCTTTATTCAATCCCAATTAACCCTTGTGACTTTGCACAAACCAAACTTTCTTTTCACCACAAGTTATATATATCTATATATACAAATTAAGCAATATTTTAAAGAAGTAGAGATTATTGGGTCATGTTTGGTCATGACTTTTGCATTTCCTGTTTTTAATTCTAACAAAATTCTGTTTGATAACAATTTGACTTAAAGAAGTTCTTCTCATGTTAACCCTATGACTCTCTTTTTGACTTGTCATTTTCGCAGGAAGGGTACATGATCCCAAGAACCAAATGTGAGCCATTGCCAAGAAACAAGCTTCTGAGCCCAATCATATTTCATGAGGGCAGATTGGTCCAAAGACCTACCCCCATAGTTGCCCTATTGACCTTTCTTTGGCTGCCAATTGGTATTCTTCTCTCCCTCCTCAGAGTCTACACAAACATCCCATTGCCTGAGAGAATTGCAAGATACAACTATAAACTCCTGGGAATTAACCTAATTGTTAAGGGCACCCCTCCCCCTCCCCCCAAGAAAGGTCAAAGCGGGGTCCTATTCATTTGCAACCATCGTACGGTTTTAGACCCCGTTGTCACAGCAGTTGCATTAGGAAGAAAAATCAGCTGTGTCACATATAGCATAAGCAAATTCACTGAACTGATTTCTCCGATCAAGGCCGTGGCTCTGTCGAGGGAGAGAGAGAAAGATGCTGCAAATATCAAGCGTTTGCTGGAGGAAGGAGACTTGGTGATTTGCCCTGAAGGCACCACTTGCAGAGAGCCATTTCTGCTGAGGTTTAGCGCCCTGTTTGCAGAGCTCACTGACAGAATTGTGCCTGTTGCCATTAACACAAAGCAAAGTGTGTTTTATGGGACGACAGTTAGAGGGCACAAATTGCTGGACCCTTACTTTGTGTTCATGAACCCTATGCCTACTTATGAGATCACCTTCTTGAACCAGCTGCCTGCAGAGCTCACATGCAGAGGAGGGAAATCTGCCATTGAAGTTGCAAATTATATTCAGAGGGTTTTGGCTGGGACTTTAGGTTTTGAGTGCACCAATTTGACCAGGAAGGACAAGTATGCTATGATGGCAGGGACAGATGGCAGAGTTTCATCACCCATCAAGGAAAAGGAAAAGGAAAAGGAAAAGCCAAAGGCCTAATTAAGAATGGGGATATCAAGTTTATTAGTTTAATTACCCCATGAGATTGATGATCAAATTCTCTACTGTTTTCCAATATGTTCAAAACTTGTTTTTTTTTTTTCATAATAATGAAACTGATTGTGATAATTATCATAAAATGTTTGTTAATTAGTATTCATAATAATGAAACTGATTGTGATAATTATCATAAAATGTTTGTTAATTAGTATTAATTAATGTATATGTGTTAATTTTGATATTTGCAAAATATTTTTTGTTACAGTCTTGCGCTGGTGGTGGTGTGGGCCTAACATAGTTAAGTGACCGGTTTAAATGTGTTTTAATGGCATTGTTAAAACAAAAAGACAAATAATAAAACCCTGCCTAAATCAGAAAAGTTTATTCCTGACATTTTTCCAGTACCAATTTATTATATTGGTAGAACAGCAATTTAACTAACATTAGTTCTGCAAATGTGAAGGAGGCCCAGTTCTTCTCTCCAAAAAAATTTGAGAATTCTCTAAGTATATATATTGAGAGCTTCTATTGGATTCCTCAAATAATCTTATTTGAGAGACACCCTTGTAGGGCCATTCTGCCTTGTATTTCACTAATACAAACGTCTATTTTGTAGATATTCATTCAAAGATTATCTTTACAAAAAAATTACTTGAATCCGATATCATTTTATCACTCAATTAAATTATTGAAATTGAAGTACTTTCTTGAAGCACCGTGTTCATTGATTTTGTTGGTCTTAATTATGCCTTAATGATTTTCAATTTGTATGATTTTTTGTAAGGATGATCTTTGAATGAAGATGTGAAAAATAGATGGTTTGGATAGTTGAAATTTTTTGTTGTAAGAGCACCTCTAGCACAAGGGCCTTAACCGGGCAAAAGGTAGCCAGAGGCCTGAATCCAACTCTAGCGCACGAAGTCTAGCCCGGGCAAGCCCAGGAATTGGACTGGGCTGTTGCCCCAAGGCGCTGACGTAAGCTGTGACGTCACGCTAACGTCAACAAATGATTTTTTTATAAAAAAGTTATTGTTGCCACATGTATTTCATGCGCCAACAGTAAAAAAAATTGAAAATCAGTCGCTTTCGTCAGGATTGACCCACCAGCCCACAGAAACCAACGACTATAAGCCATGTGGCTTCTCCTGGAGCCTCCGATTTAAAAATCTTATACAATACAACGGATGTCAATTTTTGGCTACATTTAAATATAAAAAAATCAAAAAAATTTGTGAAAAATATCAAAAAATTATGGAAATTTTTTCTATAAATACCTTCGAATATTATTCACTTTCAACACCAAATCTTCATACAAATTCATCTCCTTTCAATATTTTTCACTTTCCACACCAAATTTTCTACTTCAAAATTCCATTTGTGCAAAAATACAAATGACCTCTACCATCGAAGCCGGAGGGTCATGGATGTTTTATTCAATTTAATGTCATTTAAAAAAAAATATTTCTTGCATTTCCAATTTCATTTTTTTTAATTGATTATTCAAGGCAAAAAAAAAAAAGAGGAAAACCGCTACACATGGCTCCTCAAGTGAATAATATTATGACACACACGATATATTTCATTTTTTTAATGCCCGCCGTGGGTTCCAATGGTGGGTTCCGTGTCGGAAATAACGGCAATGTTACGTCCTCCGAAGGAAAATACTCCCCCACGTCATGATCCAGTGGAACCGCATCCGCTAATGATTGAGTCATTCTTGTACTAGATTGTGTCGGACTATAAGGACCGAGAGTATGAGTGAGATGTGAATTTTATAATAAATATGGACACGTGGCAACTGGAAATCTTATCCGAAAATGTTATCTGAAATTTTAGGTGAGAATTTTATAATAAATAATGACACGTGGCAACCAAAATTTTTATCCAAAATGCTTATCAAAATTAATGGTTTAAGTATAAAAAATAGAAAATAAATTAAAGTAAATAGTGTTTGCCCTTGCCCTTTGGGGTGGAACCAAAAAAGGAAAGGCTGTCACTATTCATGTGAATAGTGACAAACCTTGCCTTGCTTTTGCCTTGCCCTTGCCCTTTGGGATAGAGTTTCTCTAAGGGAACCTAAAGGGTGTCCCTCAAATAATCCCTCAATATAATATAATATATATATATATTAAGCTTCAGTTGAGGGATCCCTCAAATGAGGGACACCTTTGTAGGGCCCATCATACATTGTATTTCATTAATCAAAACGGTCTATTTTGTAGATATTCATTTGAAGATCAACTCTGCAAAAAATAACTTGAATCCGATATGATTTGATTGCTCAATTAAATTATTGAAATTTTAGTACTTTCTTGAAGTACTATGTTCATTGATTTTGTAGGACACAATAGATGTCTAAACGGTTTCTGATTTGTCTAATTTTTTTGTAAAGATAATCTATGAATGAAGACCTAAAAAATAAATGATTTGGATCTTTGGAAAAAAAAATAATCATAGGGTACCCTAAAGGGCGTTCCTCAAATAAAATTATTTAAAAAATTCTTCAATACAAGGGGACTATATTTATATATATTGCAATTTTTGATTTGGAGCAGAGAGCTAAGAACATAATTAATTGGTATTGTTTTGGTAATTAATTAGTTATAATTTGGGTAAATTATTTTAGTATTTTCTCATCTTCAGTCTTTTGTATTTTCACATTATATTAAGAAAATATTTTTGCTCACCACTTTAACTTAATGTGTACATTCACCACCATTCTCGACACTCAAATAAAACATCTTTGCTTTATATTTATGGGACCAAAGTTATGTTTATGGACACGTGTAGTGTTAAGAATGGTTGTAAGGGTATACTTTGGGTTATATGAGAAATTATATAATAGTACTGTACCACCACATCAGCTGGTAATACTCCCATTCAAAATTTGACACATGTCCATCTTTTAAAAACAAAAATTGTTGTTTTTTAACAGTTGAATTGAAATTATAGTGTTACCCTTTTAAAGCATTAAAAATGAAAAAAATGAAAAAAAGGGTCAACTACGGCCCACCCGAACCCAGCACTGCATCCCCTCCCACCACCACCACCACCACCTTCCTCTTTTTCTCTTCCTCTTTGTTTGTCTTCTTCCCTCCATATATATCTCTCTCTAGAAAACAAGGAAGTTAAGTTAACTATGGATTCGCCGATAAGTTGAAGATAATATAGCTCAACTAACATTATTTTTAAAATTAAAAGCCTCCATTTTTGGGTTTGGGTCGGTGGTCCCTTTTTTTCTTTGTTTGTTTGTTTTTTTTTTGAAACAGTAGCAATTCAATTGCATAAACAAGATATAGGGCCGGTGGTCCCTTTGTAACCTTCGGAAAATTCATGAATCATGATTCATGAGCATGACCAAAGCAGCATATATAGGGCCCCCTTATACTCATAAATTTTGCCAGCTCCATTTTGTCCGCCCAATTGGATGAGAACACGTGGTATGACAGGCTGTATAACTCATATTTATTATATTTTTAACCTCTCAACAAGACCTATCATGAAACGGGATATCACTATTTTGCTATTCCAGTCAATAACATTATGACATATGACATAATATTATTGGTCGAGAATAGTAACACAGTGTTATCCCCATTACAACTAGTCTTTTGTCCAATCTGGCCTGCCACGGCTGCTCGGACCTTGCCCACAAATCTCTGTGTGCTAGCCTTAAATTTCACATGCATAGCCATACAATATGCATGTGAAGCGTCAGCCCTAGCTACCTACCTAAGCCTTTGTTTCATTTAATTAGAAAATGTACTGGAAACCTTGGGCTAGCTGCATATGCATAATTCTAACATAGTGAAGCATAAATTCATGGGGACCTCACCTCACCATGTGTGATAAGATTTGATACGCCTGCATACTCAATTAATTTATTAAAGTGGGGGTAGCTAATAATATAGAGAGGAAGTACCGTTAAATTATTAAGGTTTGGTTTATAATTAGCAGCCACTATAGGCACTAGCTAGCATTAGATTCCGAACCAGTTAGGTTCATTTCCAATTTTCCATATATATATATATATATACCGTTCTAAGTAATTTTCCGGTGACTATTGCTTAGCCTTTTACCCCAGTCTGATGAGCACCTAGCTAGCTAGCTAGCTCTCTCATTTAAACACAACAAAAGTATATTTTTAACTACGTAGGTCAGGGAGCGGCTCAATAACGTGCATGTCATGTGATGGTGGTACCGTCTCTTTAATCTTAATGCCATAATGCACGGCCCCTCGCACCCACGCGTACTCTCGTCACATCAATATAATTCGATAAATGGTTTGTAGTTTAAGTGGTTAAACGCTACGTGGACCGTAAATTCTATATACAGCCCAATCAAAAGCTACGTGGTCCATAGTCTTACTGATCAAAAGGTTGGTTTCTCATGTTTGGGCTTCCTTCTAGGTTGGCCCAATCCAGACTCGCTTTTTTGTCAGAATTTTTTTTAAATTTAAAAATTATTACGTATGGTCGCTGTCAGAAGCTAACTCCAAAGTCCAGAACCCAATTCCGGAAAAACGAAATGACCAAAAAGGGCTTTCTGTTCAGTTTGCACGGAACGACAAAAGCCGGCAAGCATTGAGTAATTTCATGAAGGAAGAAGGGTAATTGTGTCAAGATAAGCGTCAAACTGTCGTCAGTTTCCCCATCTCCTGCCTGACCGTAGATTCTATAGACAGCACAATCAAAAGCTACGTGGACCATAGTCTTACTGATCAAAAGGTTGGTTTCTCATGTTTGGGCTTCCTTCTAGGTTGGCCCAATCTAGACTCGCTCTTTTTTCAGAATTTTTTTTTTAATTTAAAAATTATTACGTATGGTCGCTGTCAGAAGCTAACTCCAAAGTCCAGAACCCAATTCCGGAAAAACGAAATGACCAAAAAGGGCTTTCTGTTCAGTTTGCACGGAACGACAAAAGCCGGCAAGCATTGAGTAATTTCATGAAGGAAGAAGGGTAATTGTGTCAAGATAAGCGTCAAACTGTCGTCAGTTTCCCCATCTCCTGCCTGCCTCTCAGCTTTCCAAGTCCCCGTGAAGTTGAAGACCGTAAAAACATCAAGAGCTTGCCGATGAAGCCCTCTACTACGGCATCGAGTCGCAGCTCAAGTCGGCGATGTCGCCGCCTCCTTTCTCCGGTATCGACGCATCCGTCGTCACCACCGTCCAACCAGCCTACGATGGCTGCCCCTCAGCGATCGCCACCGGCGACGATGGCTCCGTCTGGATTGCCCATGGCGGCCAGCTGTCGAGCTACGATTGGAATCTGAGCCATTCCGGAACGATTCGAACGCATTTGGAGGACATAACCTCGATTTGCCGGGTGTATCCTGACATCGCCGCCGGAGGATCCGAATCATCCGCGGGGCTTTACTTCTACGACTTCTCCGGCGTGCGAAACCTCGGGTCGATCCACTGGACCGACCCGAACGATCCGAGAATCTTCAAGGCCCGAGTCACCGCCATTGCCGACTCGCCGAGCTCGGTCTTCGCGTCGTTCGATTGCCCGCACCGAGAGAATTGCATACTCTTGATCGACAAATCCACGCTGAAGATTGTGTCGGAGCTAAGCCGGCAGCCGGGGAGCTCGGCGAAGAACCTAGCCGTTGGAAAGCTGAGGTGGCTTCCAGAGACGAGCATGGTCGTGGGGAGCTCGGTCACGTGCGGCGCGTTTGGGTACTCGGGGTATATCCGAATTTGGGACCCGAGGGCGAATGAGATGGTTTGGGAAGCGAACGAGCCGGGTTCGGGCCGGAGCAGTAGGTTCGGGGACTCATTCGCTGACGTGGATGCCGACGTCGAAGAGTCGACCCTGTTCAAGGTGTGTTCAAAGTCTGGGGATTTGGCAGTGGCAGACTTGCGTAAATTAGGCGATGATCCGTGGGTTTATTTACAAGACAAGAACCCGAGCATGAGGAACACAAGCGGCGATCGGCCGGTTGGCCATAGCAGTAGTGTAATTCGCTGTTACAGAAAGCAAGTGTTTGTGGGGAGGGAAGGTGGGTTGGAGGTTTGGTCGAGAGTGGCGAAAGCAGAAAACAGGGTGGCAATAGAAAATGGGGTTTATGAGGGGTGGTATAGGAGGAATTTTGTGGATAAAGTTGAGGATTCTGAGAGAGGGGTTATACAGAAAATCGAAGGCGGCGGAGATAGGCTCTTTGTGATAAGAGAAGAAGTTGAAGGTGTTGAGGTTTGGGAGAGCTCTTGTTCTTCTGCTGCAGTTTCAGTTTTGTGATTCAAAAGGAGGCTCTGTAATATCAAACACTGTATTGGTACTATGTTTTGCGTTTCTGGGCATATTGGTATTGTGGCACATTGTCTCAGGTTTCGTTTCTTTGCTTCCTTTTATGGATGAATATTTTGGATATATCTCCTTTACCTGGTATTTTCTTATGTAATTACATGCTAAGAGAGGAGTTACCTTGAAACAAAGTTGGTATGGAGTGGAGGAATGTCAACAATGAGCAGTTTGCATCATTCACATGATTGGAGGCTTTCAATTAGTTGTAAGCACTTTCAGGTTCCATCGTTACTCTAATCAGCAGTTCTGCAGTGCTTTCGTTTGTTTGTTGGTACCGTCGTTACACTCATCTCATTGTTTAGAGTTTAATCTGCAGAAGTCGGAGCCAGTGATTGCAGACATGTACGTCAACAACCTATTTGCAAATTGCTGGTATGTAGACGCATTTTGAGACACTGTGATCCACTTCTTCGCTTGACCTGCATTTTACCTTATTTGCCTCTGAGATCTTCTCTTGATGTTAGTTTGTAAAGTTGATGAATACTTTTCCATGCCATTTTCTTTGTTCTTACTTGCATGATATTCTGCATTATGGCTTAGGGAGACATTCTACACAAAGTGCAATGCTCAAAAGAATTAGTAATAATCACACTAACTAGGCACATGCTTGCACAATTCACACAGGAATAAAACTTGCAGTAACTCTTAAAATAATGATTTGTCCAATATTGTTTGTACCGATTTCTTTTGTTTAACTGTCCATTGTCTAATTTATAATTCTTTTTAGTTTCCTTTAATAATTAAGATTTGAAAGAATTTGCCTTAAATTTGTGACTTCTCACACTCGGAGACCAAAACTCTTCTCATGCAGGGGTTTGGGATTTTTGTCCATGTCAATACCGCCAGTACTTTCTAAAGCTACAGGCACCTGAGTGTATATGAGGCTGAATGCGTAGGTATCAAACAGAAAATCCTCTTCTACATGGTTCTGGTTCTAATAGCCATAGGATTTATTATTTTTCTTGAACTGAAGCCATACGGTGCAAAGTGACAAAACCTCTCTCTCCTCTGCAGATAAGCAAATTGCGGAAATTTTGTCTCTTAACTTAAGCATGCAACCATGTGCCTCGGCCAGTTGGTGCAAGGTTGTCCATCTACTTTGAATGTCCCTCGGCGAGTTGGTCTATCAGGAGGCAGAATTGGGGTTTGCCACATGATTTTATCCCCTAATTTCTGATTGTTTGTGGCAAATCAAGATCAAGAAAGGTAACTGCCCCAGTTGGAACATCATTTGTACTTTCAGTAGTAAGTTGTGTTATTGCTTTACAAGCGGATATTTGGGAAGCTACATATGGTTATGAACACGGTATGATTGACAAGATCCATGAGGCCATCCGCATGAGTATGTTCTGGGTTCTTACACACATCTTCTCCTTGGAGCCATAAATAGAATTGGTGATATGAGCTGTGCTGGTATTTTCAAGGGTTTATTAGTGAAAGAGGCGACGAGCAGGTACATGATTGACGTTCACTCGGTGTGCATGAACAAGTGGATCAACGTTCACTTGGTGTGCATGTGGATTGATGTTCAGAAGACAAGGAAACACCGGGCCGCTACCAGGGCATGAGGAAACTAATGAGCAATTTGATGATACTGCACGATGCTTCTTTGTTGTACAAATATGATTAGACTGAGTCTCAGAATGAGCAGATAGTGGTGTATGAAGTCAATTGCAGAATGGTATGTGCTGCTGGGTGTCATTGATCCGCATATAATGTATTCTTCAGCAGTGTATGAAATCTGTTATCGGATAATGAAATACCCTCCTTACGCAATGCAAGCAATATTTTTAACAATTTTGACTATTGTGAGGTACAACTCCAATCTTCACAATCTCAATCATGAAGCATTCTTTAATTATTTATTTATACTCTTTTTAATTTTTAAATAAGCACCTGAACCAATCATAGAGGCAGGTCTGTTTTAAATACGAGCTTGGTAGTTCAAACTTATCACTAAGTTTGGATGTTTATTAATTAAACTTCTGCTAAATTAGATTATTAAAAGGAATATAACATAACAATTTTGATTATTTGTTCTGTAGTTAAAAAGGAAAAAACCTTCTAACTGTGCAAGTTCTGTGAACTAAATTCTTCCATTGTCCAAACTCTGTTAGGTTGCTGTTCTTTCTTTCTTCCTCCCCAACTATTCCTCCTCACAAAGTGAGATATTAGAAATGTTAACTTTAGTGAAGATCACTGGTAACTTGACCTAGCAACACTTTAATCTATTACTTGTTATATGTTTGCATTAACCTAAACTTTTTAATCAAATCTTCCATCATGCATAACATTTTTCTTTAATTCTTTTGCTTCTGCTCCTAAACTGTACATAAACTGTACATAGTGCTGACATGGGCGGATGTACTCGCTGTGTATGCAATGTGGATGACCATGGTATACTTGACTGAGGTATGGAAGCTCAATTTCACACATGCTGCTGCAATTGTCAATTTGTTCTGGGGCATTGTAGCAATACTACCAGTGGGCTTGCAATTTCTTGTGGATGCTTTCATGGGTAACTATTGGATGGTCTTGGTCTCCAGTTTCGCCTACAGTGCTGTAAGTTAATTTCTTCCAGTCTAAAAATCAATGTCATTCAGTACCATATTAATCGTTTTCGACTGCAGGGCTTAGGTTTTTTGTCAATGTCAACACCACCAGTTCTTGCTAGGGCAACAGGCACTTACAGCGCATATGAGCCGGAGTGCATAGGCCAAGGACAAAAAATCCTCTTTTATACAGCAATAGTTCTAATAGCTGTGGGAATGTCTGGTCACTTAACCTCGTTAGGGGCATTCATTGCTGAGCAGTTTATGGACTCACAATCAGACCTTGAAGACAGCATGCCCTGTCACTTTTTCCTGAGCTTCTTGATGGTGATCCTCATCCCTATAGCCGGAGTTTTTGCTATTTATTATATAAAGCCTTGGTCAATTAGGTATGGCATCCCAGCCATATGTACCTTGGTAGCAACACTTATTTTCTTGACTGGTTCGTGTTCATATCACACTCATAGAGCACAAGGCAGCCCTCTCACTACTCTGTTTAGGGTCTTTGTGGCCTCTGCCTCCAAAATTTTCAGAAGATGCCCGAGAGATGCCTCTCAGCTCTACGAAAGACGTGATGATGGTTATCAGATATCTCATACTCCTTGCCTCAGGTTTTGACTCTTCTATTTTCCATATGACACAACACATGCACACATGCACATAAAAGAGTGCAACTAATGGCACCCTTGCAACATATTTTCTTTGATTGTAAAGACAAAAACCCAACAATTTTTTTTTTTATGTATATGAAATTTAGGTGTCTAGACAAGGCTGCGATTATATTAGCCACCCAACCTCTAGAGCAACAACAAAACTCTACGAAAGACGTGATGATGGTTATCAGATATCTCATACTCCTGGCCTCAGGTTTTGACTCTTCTATTTTCCATATGACACAACACATGCTCACATGCACACATGCACATAAAAGAGTGCAACTAATGGCACCCCTGCAACATATTTTCTTTGATTGTAAAGACAAAAACCCAACACTTTTTTTTTATGTATATGAAATTTAGGTGTCTAGACAAGGCTGCGATTATATTAGCCACCCAACCTCTAGAGCAACAACAAAATAATAGGTGGAGGCTTTGCAGAGTCACAGAAGTGGAAGAAACCAAAAGCATCCTGTGCATGATTCCCATATGCACAATCTTTATCCTAATGGGTGTTGTATCTTCTATTGGGAATACCTACTTCATCGAGCAAGCAACCCACATGAATCACAAAGTTGGACGCATAAAGGTTCCTCTTCCAATCCTTCTATGGTTCTATGACCATGCCAAACAACAATTTGCCAAAATCTACTTCCAAATTGGAGGACTAACGAGGTATGGCCCCCCAATTGGAATTGCTGTGTCAATGATATTTGCAATTCTATGTTGTATCACGGCTGCAAAAGTGGAAACAAGAAGGTTAGGCGCGGTTAATAGCCACGGTCTAATTGACAAGCGTGAGGAAACAATTCCCATAAGCATCGTTTGGTTGCTTCCACAGTTTCTTCTCCTTGGAGGCCTTGATGGGATTGCAGACAATAGCATTGGTTGGTTCTTCATTAATCAGGTCCCTCCATCCATGGCTCGGTACATGGTTCTATTTGCTATTGCTGTTTTTGGAATGGGGATTATGGGCAGTGTCTTGTCAGTTTATCTAGTGGGTGAGATAAGTGGAAGGGGAGGGAAACCCAGTTGGTTCCAAGAGACTCTAAACCAGAGTCGTTTGGATCAATATTATTGGACCTTGGCTGCATTGGCTGCAGCTAATCT